GAAGATGGCAGAGGGGACTTAGAATTTGCATTGCATATATATATATATATATATATATATATATATATATATGCGCTACTTTTGATGATTAAAGGTAAGTGTGTTTAAAAAGCTGCTAAGAGAAAATGAGCATTTAAGAGTAATGTCTGGCTTTCTTCTTGATTTGTTTTTAAAGAGAGATTCTTGAAGATTATAAGAAGGTTAAAAGAACCTTATTGAGTAAATAGCAGAAATCTATGTTATTAGTAAATTATTTCCATTTGATAGCAATTTGATTATTTCATGTGATGATTTTTATGTAATTACATAGTGAACTTGTGTGATGTTTATCCTTAAAAAACAACTTTTCCACAGTGTTTTGAATTAAGTTGCATGAAAGGTTAAGATTAATTTCGGAGTTGATGCAGCCACAGTTTATTTTCTGTTGTTGTATGATTAACACAAAGTTATTGATTAGTACTTAGTGCCTTTTCTTTTGGAGGCCGGTGTTTATTACCAGTGAGTGTTGAATTGCTCCCAGTGTCCATTAGGCATCCTGTGGTTAATAGAGACAGATAGCCTGCCCTTGATAGATGCTTCTGGAAAGTTAAAGTTTCCACAGTGGTAGTTAAATTCCCGTCAGGGAGGGAAGCTGCTGATGGCCGGGACAGGCCTTCGGAGAGGAGGGGAACTCCGCACTGTTGAATCAGGCACCTAGGGTGCGACTTTGCAGGTGAACAAATCTGATTTTATCAGTTCGTTCGGAGTCCATGGGGCTTGTGAGACTGAATGATGCCGGCCAGCCGAGCTAAGCAAGCTTATGGCCGACTGAACACCCCGTGTGTTAATTTGCAGTGGGAGATGTACTGTGGCCACCTGTAGACTTGTTGAAAGGATAACCTTTGGATCATAACTTTACTTGGTGAACACAGAAATAAGATGGGGACAAATTGGATATCTTCAACTGATACTTCATCAAGTCATTGGAATTTGATAGAGGACTTTTTGCACCCCAGAGGCTATTCTGCTTAAAGCCTGGGGCCTAAAATTAGAGCTCCTTTACTACAGTGTGGTGCTGGATAAATGGGAAGAATTCTTTTCCAGTTCCCTTGCTAGTCAGTTGGCCCCATTGCCTTATGCCGGGTATGTTCCAATACAGTGGGGACGTAATATAATAATAATGGTTGCTTAGCATGTGTGGGGCATCTTGCTGAAGTGTTTTTCTTCTCTTATTCCCTTAACCCCATGATAGCCCTAGGAAATAGGTACTGTTATCCTTCCCACTTTATAGATGAGAAAATACAAATTTAGGAAAGCTTAGGGCTTAGAGCCCAGCTTCTAAGCCAGGTAGCCTGACTCTCGAAAAGCTTTAGCCACACGTGATAGAATTTCTTTTGTACATTTCAGCTTCTTTCCAGTTGTGTTTTCCTTAGAATATAGGGTGATCATTTTGAGACAACCTTCTCTCTCTTATCTGTCAAATGAACGCTTAGGAAATAACAGTTTCTGTGAAAATGTTTAAGCAGTAACTCTTAGGGTAGGTTCTTTTTTTTTTTTTTTTGAATGCTGATCTTGATCTACTTGTAATTTTGAGTAGTTTCATTTAGGGAATGGACCATTAAAAATTAAAAAGGTTGCAGAAAAACCCCAAAGATAATGCAAAGAACAGCTCTTTTTAGATTCACCTACTAACATTTTTCCCTGTTTACATTTGTGCATATTTTCTTGCTCTCTATATTTATATGTGTGTTACACATGTTTTTTCTGAGTCATTTGGGATGTTACATATTGCGTGGCCCTTTATCTCTAAATATTTCAGTGGGGATTTCCTAAGGAACAGAGATTTTTGCTTACATACAGCTACTACTCCATAAATTTATACTGTTAAAATATTATCATCGAATCTGCTATGCATATTGCGATTTTATCAGTTGTCCTATTAAGGTCCTTTATAACATTTTTTCCTGTGGTAGGAGATCCAGGCTAGGGTTATATATCCTATTTAGTTGTCATATCTGTTTAATATCCTTTCATGTGGAATATTTCCACCATTTTTCTTTGTCTTTTATCAGATTGACATTTTTGAAGAATATAATCATACCTGTCCTTTTTTTTTTTTTTAAATAGAAATTTCCTCATTTTGTTTGTCTGATGTTTCCTCATCTTTAGAATCAGGTTATGCATAATAGGCCAGAACTTACTTTTTCCCCTCCTTAATAAGTTTAGTCTTTCTCAAAGTCAGGAAATTAACACTCATATAATAATATTATCTAAGTACAGACCTTCGTCAGATTCCGTCAATTATTCCCAAAATGTCTTTAGGGTAGGAAAATACCAGATCATATGTTACATCTAGACTTAATTGTATCTGGAACAGTTTCTCAGGCTGAATTTCATGGCATGAACGTTTTTGAAGAGGATTAGCCAGTTATTTCTAGAATGTCCTTCAATGTTGTTTTGTTTGAAGTTTCCTCACGGTTAGATTCAGGTTTTGCACTTTTGGCAGAAATGCCGCACGAGGGACATTGTGTTCTCAGCACATCATATTTGGAGTCACACGATGTCTGTTTGTCCCGCAGCTGGTGATATTAATTTTGATTACTTGGTTAAGGTTTGGTCTGCCAGGTCTGCCCCGTGTAAAGTTACTCTTTCCCCCTTTACAGACAATTACTGTCTTGTGGAGTGATGTTTTTAAGTTCACGTCCTAATGACTCCTCAAACTTTTACTCATAGGCTTCAGAATTATTGGGTTATTCTTTTTTTTTTTTTAAGATTTTATTTATTTGACAGAGTGAGAGAGCACAAGCAGGGGGGAACAGTAGAGGGGGAGGGAGAAGCAGGCTCCCCGCCAAGCAGGGAGCCCGATGTGGGGCTCCATCCCAGGACCCTGGGATCCTGACCTGAGCCGAAGGCAGACGCTTAACCATCTGATTGCCTGAATCGGCTGTTCTTATGAAGTTTGCCCAGTAACGATTTATTTTTATTTATTTATTTATTTATTTTTTAAAAAGATTTTATTTATTTATTTGAGACAGAGAGAATGAGAGAGACAGAGAGCACATGAGAGGGGGGGAGGGTCAGAGGGAGAAGCAGACTCCCTGCCGAGCAGGGAGCCCGATGCGGGACTCGATCCTGGGACTCCAGGATCATGACCTGAGCCGAAGGCAGTCGCTTAACCAACTGAGCCACCCAGGTGCCCCCCCGTAATGATTTAAAACGCCATCATTCCCTCTTCATTCATTTATTGGTTTTCTCCCACAAAGAATAGTGTTCCCTTAGCTCTTATTTATTTATATTGGTGTTGATTCATGGATTTGTACTTGATTCTTGTTTTATTATCATTACTGATTTTGATGCTCAAATTGTCCTGGATTTGGGCCAGTGGGAGCCCCCTGAGGCTGGTGTCTGTGCGCTGTTGACACGTCCCCATCATTGTTTGACACATCCTTACTTTGTGGCACAGAAGAGTCTTCCTTGTGAACTTTCTCTGCCTGCACCCTGGAAGTAAGTGGTCACTTCATGTCTCCATTCTTCTTGTATGAGAATACCTCTGTCTCCAAAGCCTCGCCAAGAGTGACTTTTTATAACTGTTTAATTTTTGCCAATCTGATGGGTGAGAAATAGCAACTCAGTGTCGTTTTAATTTCTCTTTATGAGTGAAATTGGGCATCTTTTCATATGTTTAAGTGGTATATGTGTGTATGTATATGTGTGTATGTGTGTGTGTTCATGTTTTGGGTCCATGTTTCTGTCCTAAGTTACTAGTATTCACTTCTTCAATTTTAAGAGTTCTTTATATATTATGAATATTATTTCTTTATCTGTGATACGATGCAAATATTTTCTCTCATTTTATCTGTTGTCTTTGGTTAATGCTTTTTTTTCTTGCCATGCAGATTTTATTAAAAATTTTCATGTAATCACATTATTAGTCTTTTCTTGTACTTTTCCTGATTTTGAGACACAGCATGCTTTTCCTTATTTAGGAGTTAGAGAAGATTCACCATTTTTTCCTCTGTAGTACTTGTATGGCTTCACTGTTTTACAGTTAGATCCCTGATTCATTTGGAGTTTATTCTTGTGTATGGTAAGAAGTATGGATCTAATTTTATCTTTTTCCAGTTGGCTAACCAATTGTTTTAACCATTTATTAAAAGTCAGTTTTGCCCCAGTGATTTTTAGATGCTCCGTTTTGTTGTTTTTTTAAAAAAAATATTTATTTATTTATTTTTAAGATTTTATATATTTATTTGACAGAGAGAGACACAGCGAGAGAGGGAACACAAGCAGGGGGAGTGGGAGAGGGAGAAGCAGGCTTCGCGCTGAGCAGGGAGCCCGATGTGGGACTCGATCCCAGGACCCTGGGATCATGACCTGAGCTGAAGGCAGACGCTTAACGACTGAGCCACCCAAGTGCCCCTGTTGTTTTTTTTATACACTACTAAAGTTCCATCTGTACTTGGGTCTGTTTTGACTTTCTGTATTACCACACTGGTTTGTCTGTCTACTCTTGGGCCAGCAACACACTTTTCATTATAGAGTCTTTAGAGTATAATTTAATGTCTGGAAGGGCTAGTCCTCTGCTCTAGCATTTTAGTGTTTTCCTGACTGTTCTTGCACATGTATTTTTAATATTAAGTTCAGTTTCAGTTGCTAGCTTCATTAAAAAGAATTGTTGGTATTGCAACAATTATATTGTTGGGGATTGCATTAAATTTATAAATTAATTTACAGCAACTTGACATTTTTGATGTTGACTTGTTCTATGCCAAAATAAGAAACGTCTTTTTAAAAAATATATCGTATTTATTTATTTGAGAGAGAGAGAGCACGAGCAGGGAGAGAGGCAGTGGGGGAAGTAGATTCCCTGCTGAGCTGGGAGCCTACCGCCCTGCTCCATTCCAGGACCCTGGGATCCTGACCTGAGCCCAAGACAGACGTTTAACCCACTGAGCCACCCAGGCACTGAAAGAAGGTGTTTTTTTGTTTGTTTGTTTGTTTGTTTGTTTGTTTTTAAGCAGTTTCCACACCTGTGGAGCCCAATATGGGGCTTGAAGTCACGACCATGAGATCGAGACCTGAGATGAGGTCAAGATGCTTAACTGACTGAGCCACCCAGGCGCCCCTAAACAAAATGTTCTGTTCTATGTGTGCATTAATGTGGAGAATATAAAGATAGCAAAGCTAAGATTTCTACCTCAAATAACTTAAATACAGTTTTGGAAATAGGTATATGTTTATTTACATGCATTAAAAAAATAGAAACATTCCTTTGATGGTGGACTTTGAATTGAACCTAAAAGGAAGTGTTGAATGTAGTTTCGTAGAGAGAACCAAGGACATTTCAAGTGGTCATTGCTCAGGCGAAAGTAGAAGCAAGATTTTGCCGTATCACGTGAGGTCAGTGAGATCACCAGCCTCAGACTGAAGCAGTGTGTTTGTATCCAGAAGTAAAGTGGGAGCGGTTGGTGGAAGGCCTTGAGTGGCCAGGGTTTGGATTTGAGCCACTCAGAAGCAGAGGCCTCCTGAATTGGTAATCTATTGCCGTGTAACAAATTACCCCTAACGTTCATGGCTTAGGGCGCCGGTAAACATTTATTATCTCTAGCAGTTTCTGTGCATGTGGGATTTGGGAGCAGGAAGGACTGTTGCCTCCTTGGCAGTCCTTAGAAGTGAACCAGTAAATTCAGCCCACATTCAGGGCTAGGTTCCATGCTTCAAGGGGAGGAGTGTTGGAGAACCTGGGAACACACTTGAAAGCCTGTGTTGGGAACAGAGGGGCAGTGGCATGATTTTGAAAAGGAAAAAGACCACGGCGTCTAGAGGAAGGTTCATTGGTCGCGGCACCAAAGATGAAGAAAGGGAGGAATCCCGGGTAGATGGGAGTGAAGTAATCCAGCAGTAAGGCACAGGTGAGGGAGAAGCAGGACACATGCGAGGGCCGAGAGGGGATGGGGGGCGTCAAGGTGGCCCCAGGGCTTTCAGAGCTGCATAAAGACCTGGTGCAGTAACCGGAAAGAGAAGCCAGTTTTAAGGGGATTAGGGTACTTGTTTGGTTTTAGACACTCAAGGGGAAATTCCTAAGCAGTTGAGAGTTGATAGAACCAGGGCTCATGTTGAGACGTCCAGCCGAAGGGGGAGAGTTCCGATCTGTCACCGCAGACGTCATGGTTGAATTTCTCAAGGGATGAGGACACAGAAAGGCCAGAGCATTGGGACCCAGCCCTGGGGGGAGCCATGGTTCGGAGTACGGTCAGCAAGAGGAGCCGGATCTGCAGCATTAGAGCGAGAGGTGAGCCAGCTGTGTTCCTGGCAGCAGCGAAAAAGGTGGAGGATCAAGAGCTTCAGATGTTGCAGAATCTGAAGAGAATGATGTTTGAAATGAATGCATTTGCCTGTGAGATTATTAGAGGTGACAGCAGTTTAAGTGGAGTAGAACAATTTTGGAAATTGGATTATAACATTTAATTCGATGATTAACTTTTTAAAAAGTGCTCGAGGTGGGAGGATGAGTGGCTGGCTTGCCTTTAGATTTTGAGATCTTATCTCCTTCTTGCCTCCTTTTAGCACCGTCAAGCCTCCCTGGAATGGTACTCATCAGATCTTGGACTGAGGGATGAAGGAGGATTTTACCTCACTTGTTTTCAGAGACTCTTTTAACTGTAAGTGAAGTCGGCTTACTTTATCATCCTTTTGCTTCACATCCTGCTTTTAACTATTCTCACCTGTGCCCTCCCCCCCCCCCTTCCTTGCCCTTCCTTCTCCTTCCCCTGGTTTGTATGACTTTCAGGATCAGTTCCCAGACTGAGGATCACCCGCTTTTCCTCTCCCTTACCCCCCAACTTTTAAGAGCAATTCTACTACTCATGTTTTGTTAACTGAACTGGCGGAGATGCAGTTAATGCCTATGAGATATGATTAAAATTAGTAATTGACAAATGTCAGTACTAAATTGAAAAGGATTTAGTGTTCCTTGTTATGTGTCTGTCCATGTGTACAGTCAGTTTTGAAATTAGTAAAATAAGTGTTGGTAAAAGGGAGCAAAAACATGAAAATATTCATAGAGTTACTTCATATGACGTAGTATATTTCAAGATTTCTATAAGGATTTGAGATTAAGTAGACCAAGAAATTGCGTAATGAAACACTGACAAAGCCAGAAAAAGGAAATCTGAGTTTTCTCTGTTACATGATATGATGATTATTATTTTCTTATTTTTTTCTGATCGTGTTGTTTTTCTTTTAAGAAAAACTTTGGTTTCACTAAAGACTTCAAGAAACTAAACAGAATAGCAATAATAAGTATCATTTCAAATCAAAGAGTAGACTTTCTTGCTGCGAGAAAAAGATTATTGATAAGTTCTACTTAGCAAAAAAGATAAGATTGCTCTCAGTCACATCATCTTTGAATAAATAGGGCAGCATTGAGTAATACAGCCTGGCTCTGCAGAATGCATAGAAGGTGAGCATGGGAGAGCGAAGAGGGGGCAGGGGACGGTGAGCTCAAGTCGCAGGAGTGAGGGGAGTCTGAGAGATGCTGGCGTGGAGCATGGGTAACAAGTGGCTGTTGGAGGCACGAACAGAGAAGCACTGCTGTGAAGGTTCTTTCGTGACTTTTTTTTAAGATTTTATTTTTGGGGCGACTGGGTGGCTCAGTCGGTTAAGCATCTGCCTTTGGCTCAGGTCATGATCTCAGGGTCCTGGGATCGAGTCCTGCATTGGGCTCTCTGCTCAGCGGGGAGCCTGCTTCTCCCTCTCGCTCTCCCTCTGTGCTCTCTCTTTCTCTCTCTCTCTCAAATAAATAAATAAAATCTTAAAAAAAGATTTTATTTTTAAGTAATCTCTACACCCAACATGGGGCTCGAACTCACAACCCCGAGACCAAGAGTCGCTGGCTCCACCGACTGAGCCAACCAGGCGCCGCTTGTGAATTTTATTACACCTATTAAGCTTTTCCTGTGTGTCAGTGGGAGTGAGAGAGAGGGTCAGAAAAAAAAAAAAGGGAGTGAGAAGGGGGTGTCAAGAGACCAAAGATTGTGTTGTTTGTCTTCACAGTTAAAGGTCTGGATATATTTGCAGTATGTCGTGATTCTTAGTACTTGTGCTTGGGCAGTTGTCAAAAAGTTAATGTGGTTAATTGGTCGAGTTTCCTTTTCCTGTCTCCCACCCATCCTACCCCCTCCTCTTTCCCTTATCTTCTCTGAGAGTCCCTTCAGGCGCCGTCAGTCCTGGAAGCTTCCTTCAGTGGCTGCTTCCATTCCCAGTGCCCAACCCTGGAAGCTTCCTTCAGTGGCTGCTTCCATTCCCAGTGCCCAACACTGGCTGGGCTGATTCTCCTCCCCCATGCCCCTCCGTCTCCAGGACGTCTTGGGAATCACTCCACCACTCGGCTTCTGCAACATGTTGTGTGCAAGCCTGTTGATGTGTTTGTTTTCTTTACTAGACTGCGAGCTGCTTAGTGGGAGGCGTCAAGTTTCACTCACCTGTGTATCCCCACATCTAGTACGTGGTAGTTGAACGGACAGAGGAATGATTTTCCCATGCCTTGTAGTAGACACACTCACCACCGGCTGTCAGTGTGGCGGTGACATCGCTGAGCTTTGATGGTTGGGAGATCCGTGACCATAGAGATAGACCACCTGAGCCTTACAGAAATCAGGGAGGACTGAAAAATAAGTAAGCTGGAGTTCCTGATGTAGGGGTGCTCTGCCGAGAAGGTTTCAGGGTTGGCTGGGAGCAGGAAACAAATCATGCGGTGCTGTGTGGGGGGTGTCCCGGGAGAGGCCTCAGGTGCAGGCTGCTCTGGAAGCGTGTCATTAATGCAGCCTGGGCAGGTCCTGGGGAGACTGGCATTTGGCTTGGGTCTCTGAGTATGTAGTTGCTCATCATGTGCAAAAGGAGGAGCATGTGCCAAGCTGTAGAGGTGTGAGGATATTTTCTGAAATTCCTGGGAGTTGGGGAATGGGAACGTGGCGGGAAGTGGGAGCAGGAGGAGCCATGTGTGTAACGCTAGTGTAGCCAGCCCTTACCCTGTTGGCTGTGGGGAGCCAGTGAAGGCGGCAAAGTCAGAAGAATGGCACAGATGCACTTTTTTGTTTTATTTTATTTTATTTTATTTTATTTATTTTCTTAAGTAGGCTCCATTACTAGTGTGGAGCACAACACAAGCCTTGAAACTCAAGACCGTGAGATCAAGACCTGAGCTGAGATCAGGAGTCGGACGCCTAACTGATTGAGCCCCCCCCACCGGTACCCCCCAGATTCACATTTTAGAAAAATGCCTGGCAGCAGCGTGAAAATTGCCCTGGAAGGGAAGAACCAAAGCAAATACATTGGTGTTAGGAAACAGGTGCTGGGCGCCTGGGTGGCTCAGTCGGTTAGGCGACTGCCTTCGGCTCAGGTCATGGTCCTGGAGTCCCGGGATCGAGTCCCGCATTGGGCTCCCTGCTCGGCAGGGAGTCTGCTTCTCCCTCTGACACTATCCCCTCTCATGCTCTCTCTCTCTCTCATTCTCTCTCTCAAATAAATAAATAAAATCTTAAAAAAAAAAAAAGCTAATTCATTTGCAGTTACAAAGACATACTGGAATGATTTATTTCCTAATTGGAGACGGTCTTGTTTCCATGGTCTGTCAGAGAGAACGGATCAGGCAATACACCAAATAAATCAATTTTTGTGTTTAACAACTCTTGTACTTCCTGCTCAGCCTCAAAGGGCAGGAGGAACTTAAGAAAGATACCATAAGGGCGCCTGGGTGGCTCAGTTGGTTAAGTGACTGCCTTCGGCTCAGGTCATGATCCTGGAGTCCCTGGATCGAGTCCCGCATCGGGCTCCCTGCTCAGCAGGGAGTCTGCCTCTCCCTCTGACCCTCCTTTCTCTCATGCTCTCTGTCTCTCATTCTCTCTCTCGCAAATAAATAAAAAAAAAAAAAAAAAAAAAAGAAACAGGTGCAGCAGTCCCAATGCGTGGGATGAAGGGCCTGGATTAAGGCGTTGTGGTGGAGGTGTGGAGAGAAGGCATTGAACGTGTGGTCTAGGATGTGGCGAGGTGGGATTTGTGAGATCTGTTGACTGGAGCTGTATGCGTGGAAGAATAGACAGTGGTTGTAGATTTTTTAATTGTCTAGCCATTGACGAGGAGAGTAGAAAGGAAGCCTTGGGCTTGGGTTTGGATATTTGAGAATGGGGCATCCAAATGGTAACTAGCGGACTGTTAGAAATGTGACTCTCAAGTTTAGGAGCGAAACATAGGGAGTGTGGAGTCACACGTGTGAAAGGGTGTGATTACAAAGGAGGAGCTAGCTGAGCAGTGAGGGAAGGCCGAGCAAAGGACCTGGGACACTTAAAGGGCATACTCAGGAGAAGGCCATCTAAAAACAGGTTCAGAAAGGGAATTTGCCAACATCAGATGCCACCAAGAGGTTAGGTTGGGATGAGAAGTAAAATGGGGCCGAGGGTTTGACCAGGTCAGACGCTCTCAATGAGAAAAACTATAATACTGGCATTAGAAACTTCATTCCACTGACTAAGTGCAGTGGGTCTTAATGGGTAGGGAAAATGAATTTGGACCACCTTTTTTTTTTATTTTTAAAACAATTTAATACAGGAGGTAGATTACAGATAAAGGGCAGTGGGAAGGTCTTTATTTTAGGATAAGGTAGTGTAAGTATACTGCGATGGTCTGAACGTGTCCACACAGGCTTGGAACAGCAATTGCAGGAATGGAGAAAAAAATGACCAGGGATGGGTCATGGCATATTGCCCAGCAATGAGGGCCTGGCCAGAGTGGAAAGCAAGTTATTCTACCAAATGGTAGAGTTACCTGACTTTTCTTCCATGGCACTCTCTTTATCCTGGGAGCTGGAACAAGTGAACTACAACATGATTATTTTATGAAATAATTATTTTTTTCAAAAGCATTATTGTAAGATTTTTTTTGTTTTTTTATTTATTTAAAGATTTTATTTGACAGAGAGAGATAGTGAGAGCAGGAACACAAGCAGGGGGAGTGGGAGAGGGAGAAGCAGGCTTCCTGCCGAGCAGGGAGCCTGATGCGGGGCTCGATCCCAGGACCCTGGGATCATGACCTGAGCCAAAGGCAGACGTTTAATGACTGAGCCACACAGGCGCCCCATTTTTTTTTTTAAGATTTTATTTATTTATTTGTCAGGGGGAGAGAGAGAGAGCACAAGCAGGGGGAGCGGCAGGCAGAGGGAAAAGCAGGCTCCCCGCTGAGCAAGGAGCCCGATGTGAGACTTGATCCCAGGACCCTGGGATAAGGACCTGAGCCGAAGGTGGACGCTTAACTGACTGAGCCACCCAGGCGCGCCCCTATTGTAAGGTTTTTTTGTATTCTTTGTGTGTGGTAAGGTACACCTAAGGCCTACTATTTTAAACATAAAAAATTTACCACTTGTAAACGTGCAGTTCTGTTAACATTAAGTACATTCACATTATTGTGCATCCATCACCACCATCCATCTCCAGAACCTTTTCATCATCCCCAGCTGCAACTCTGTGTCCATTAAATACCAAATCCCTTGGTGCGATTTGAATTTTCTTTCCTATTCTTAAAATATGATTTGAAAACACCGTGTTTTCTAGAACACAACTCTTCCACAACCATTGTGAAGTCTCAAGCTGTGCCACGTCAGTTTTTCACG